TGCCCCTCGCGGCAGCCCAAGCAGCCAGTGGGCATCACCAACCAGCCCGACCAGGTGAACATCACCACGTACCGGCTGAGCAGGCACTGAGCTGCCCCTGCACCAAACCAAACCAGCAGTCACTGGTTTTCAGGCCGTATGTACCGAGTACAAGCCAGCTAACCCGCGTGGCTGGGACCTGCTCCCTTCCCTGCCCCACGGAAGATCTATTTCATGTGAAATAGCAGCTCTGGGCCCTGTGGGCCTGAGTCGCAGTCAATTTATACTTATTTATTATGTTGGTCCATTGCTTTTAATTTACATAGCTTCTGAACATAACTATTGTATTTTTATTATTTGCCTGTCTTAGCAATGACTGAATTGCTGACTGAAAACTGTTGAAATAAAAACTTCCCCATGGTTGCATTTCTCGGCTTGTCACTCTTGCAGGGCAGCCCAGGATTAAACGATCCGGGGATGGTTTCGGGCAGGGAGGGACCCACTCTCAAGTTGGGCATCAGCAGCAGGAAAATCCCACGGTTTCAGGTGCTTTTGGGGACTCTCTGGTTCTGCGTTGGTTTTTCCTCTTTCTCATCCTTCCTCCACATATCAGGGTACAAACCTAGAGCCCAGGGACCACCCAAGAATCACCCAAGAGCCCGGGAACAACTCCAGAGCCCTGGAGACTGCACAGAGCCTAGGGACCACCCCACACCCCATCCTGTGGCAGCCTTAAACCCAGCCTGGAAGCCACCCACCCTCCCCAAGCTCTAGTGGCCTTGGCTACCTCCAGGCCTTTACAGGGCCCCAGGAGGGATGCACCCTCCTGGCTTCCCTCTGGCAGGTGGCCTGGCTTCAGAGCCCCCAACATTGACCCTGCCCTGTCCCCATGCCCTTGAGAATGACGTGCTGCTGGGCTACACACTGCAAAGGGAACAGGATTTAGTCCCTGGGGGTTTTGGGGAGCAAAACACAATTGCATAACTCAGGAGGTCTCTGTCCCCCCCGCCCCGGCATATCTCCAACCTGCCCCAGTGCCAGCGAGCGGAGGGCAGATGATGGCCAAATCCACCCTGGGAGCCCAGGCGAGGGGGAAACATCCCAGGGAGGGTGATGGGTCACATCCAGACCACAGCATGGCCATAGCACTGGGACCCAGCCCGCACAGCTCGGGAGCAGCTCTGGTTAAGCTCCGCTTAACACCCCTGGGGCTCCTTTCCCCATCCCCAAAAAAGCAAGGTGGCCTTGGGACGCATCCCACAACCCCTCTGGCAGCCACTGACTGAGCCTCACCACCAGTAAAGACCAGTCTGGAGCGGGGGAAGCATCTCTCTCCCCCATTTTCCCAGCATCTAGGATGCTCCCAACAGTCACCATGGTAAAGGGGCCCAGCCTGAGAGCTGGGCCTCTGCCCACAGGGAGCCGCCTCCCACCTGGCACCCATGGGTTACAGCCGGCCCAGGGGACACCACCACCACCATGTCCATCCACCCCCTGCATGAGGACACTGAGGCCCCAGGGCACTTCCCAGCAGAGCCACCCACTCATCACAACCCTGGGAAAGGGCAGGGCAGGAGGCCAAGGCTGCCAACTCCCCGGGCGCCTCTCTCCCTTCTCTGTATTGCATCAGCCCCAAAATTCGTGGCTCTCCTGAGGAGCAGGGGTGGCGCCAAGCCGGGGGCCGCCTTGCCCGCCCCAACCTTGCTCCTCTCCCTCTCTCACACCCTTCCCCGCAGCAGGCAGATGGCCCCGTGCCAGGGAGCAGCACCAAGCAGCGGCGCTCCCTCTTCTCCCTGCTCCGCTCGGGCACCACGCGCCGCTTCGGGCCGGGCCT